ACACTGAAAGTAATCAAACTTATAACGGTAATAAAGGAACGGTGAAGGCTGTATGAGATAACTGATGGAAGATGTGCAAATGGTGTATGTTTTTAATATTTTATGAACACACTATAATTTTGCATAAAAAAATAAATTGTTTTCTCTCACCTGATTACAATTAGTATGTCACAAATTTCGTATTAAATTTCATATAAATTGGTTATTCTAAGTAGCAACAGTTTAATGTTTACTTATTCACTAAATAATGTTAGTCTGTAGGGAACCTTAACTCCAAAAAATGAATTTCATTAACGGATTTCAATTGAAATTCCTTTTAAATTATTATCATTTATTTATTTCAATCTATTTTCAGTTGATTACAATGAGTAGGTTAATAAACAAATTGTAAAGAACCACATGTTTACACCTGAAATATCTATTTGGTAAGAAGAACCAATCAAGTAAAGAGATTTCTTTTCAGCGATACTTCATTTGTTGGTTAAACAAGAAAGTACAAGATGTTTTGAAGTTTTATTTAATTCTATACTATACATTACTATGATTAAATCATAGTAGCCAAAGATATTTAAGTTTAGTAAGATCATTATCAATAAACATCAATAGTTATATGTTACAAAGAAAATATTCATATGTCAATTGGCTAAATAATTTGCCTAAATGTTTCATCTTTGTTACGTTTGTCTTAAAAACAAAACACCGATATTGTACAACAACAACAACAGTCGTTAACGTAAACTGTCATTTTAAATTTAAGTTAACTTTTTAATATGTTTCAACATTTTTTACATAATAAAGAAATTACAATTACATGTACAATTTACTAATTAATGGAAGTTATTAATTTTCACTTGTATGTAAATATACTACTGAATAACGATGTGTGTATTAATATTGTGTTACACCAATATAAAATAAAAAATAAGGATAAATTATACATTTAAAATATTACGGTAATATCTAGGGATATGAGTTAAAGTATCGACTATTTTAATTGTTTTGTTTCTTAGGAATTGTTACACGGATACAAATAAGCACGATAACACTAATTAATAAGTTAAAATCAACTTTCATGACCAGATTAAATCAGATGATGAGCTATTAATTTTAAAACAACTTCAAAGGACTGTCTTCCTATTTTGGTACTTTTTGATAAAGCATATTCGTTAAATAATAGGTTCTTCATGTCTCATAAATAAAACGACGCATTCCGGTTGCTGATTCATTTTTCCGTGATTTACATTTTCCAATGTTAGCTGCTAATATTTAGCACAACACATTTATCAATTATTGCCAATGCAGAATAATTGACTGCCAGATTTTTATATGACTTCTAATTGAAAATTCTAAAAATCATCTCATGTCTAGTGGTAAGTAAATGACTATTATAGAAATATGTCAAATGAAATTTACGAAATTGCCCAAGTATGTCAACTTAATTCTTTGAATATTTTATGTTCGTTTTGTGATCTAATGTTTTTGGGTTAAATTTTGAGTGTGAACTACTGATGTGGCTTATAGTAAGATAGAATACGTGTATAGCATTCAGTGGTTTTCTATAGATCTTTGCTTGATGTCACTCCTTCAGGAAATTTAGCTATGAACTGACCTATTGAGACAAACATTCCGTTCAAATGGAAGCAACAATTTTGAGTCTCAAACATTACGTTAAATCTTCATTCGATGAACTAGTTTTCATTACTGTCAATAATGATGCAGATTATTTTATGTGTATGTGTTTGTTTTCTTGGTTGTTGATGAAATTGAGTCATTGAGCAGTCACTATTAGCGTAAGTGCATTCTGCCCCAGCCGATTATATGCTACAGATAATTAAATTTTTTAGCCTATGATTTCACTTCTAATCATAGCCCAACTTTTTTGTTGACGATCTGGTAAAACGTTTAAGTAATTCATCTACTTATTTAATTAGTATTCCATTTAAAATGTTACCAGCTGATATTCTTCCAACGATTCAGTCATTATTATAATAAAAAGCTGGAAGAGGTCAGCGTCATACCTGACGTTGATTTACTGGCGAAAGTAATTCTAGTTGTGTCGTTAATAATTTATTCATTTAGAATTGAATCCGAATATGTGGATAGTGTTATCAAATATTAGCAGTCCTTGTGTTACTCAACACTAATGTAATGTAAACTTTAGGCATCGAAAGATTATTCATACTATGGTAAAGTAACCGAATTTCATACATTGTTCTATATATTTCTACTTTGTTTTCTGTGCAGACGTATATGTTTTCAGACTGTACTTTATTTGGGTTATCAAGCTTTTAAAATGATTTCACTGAAACTATTGTTCTTAATCGAAAATAAACATCTCCAACAAAACTGATTGTTAGAAAGTTTTAAAATTACAACTCTCTTAAGTATTCTTGAAGAAGGACACGTTTTAGTGGCAACCACGTTCCATATCATGGCCATGATGAGTGTATACAGGAGAAACGAAAACTAATATGCTCATTTCCATACAATCAATGTAGTCCTTTTTGTTAGAGTGAAGCTTTTACCTCTAGGAACCTATGTAAAGAACTATTTTTTTACGATAATATGATGCACTGCCCTTGGTAACGTGAAAGATTTTGTTGTAATAATACATATTACTATAACCGTAAAGATCTGAGTAAAATCAATTTTTCTAATTTAAGATTTGATAGTAACTAAGAAAAAAATAGTTATAATGACTGAGATATAAAAACAAAACACTAACATTTAAGCCATGCATAAGTTCATTTATATTAATTAAAAACTTGAGATATTTTATATATGTGGAACAATTACGTAATGAGATCTATTTTTAAGACAATATTCTTTAGGTGATTGTGTTCCAAATGCTTCATCTAGAATAGATATTGTCATTACGTCAATAATCATCTGATACATGCATTCTCTATACGGTGGTATTACTTCGATGAAAGTATTCTCACAAAACACGATTTGTATATTTTCGTATAGATTTTTGAAATTATAGGTAATATCACGAACGGGCTATGAACAGAGAGAACTATTGGATATCAGATAGCACTGGAGAGTGGTCTTACCATAGAATATGGTTGTGAATTAGTTTACACCCAGTACTTGGACAAGGATCGTGCTAAAAAATTCAAACTTTGTGGCAAGCGCCTTGCGTTTAAATCAGTTTAAATTCAGCACTTGGTTGTCCAATGCTTCTAGGTTTTTGTTTGCTATGTAGCTAAATTCTGTCAGCGAAGTATGCCAATAAAATATCAGTTCATCAAAAAATGTCCTCTTATACAATTATAATGGAGATTCACCTTGTGGAATACTGTGTAAAACGTCGTAAACGGTAAAATTGTTCAAAAATCTTTTTATTTGAATTCATTTTTGTCAATTAAAGAAAATAATTTTGAGTATTACAGTAGTCGGTGCCCTCTGGAATATTGCTTTTCAACGTCAACATATATCGTATCATATTTATTGAAAAGGCTTTATTAGACTTTGTATCTTTTTTTGCTTACTTCAGTCTACTAATAATAGTTAATTGAAATGCTTAATATGATACGAACAATATGTTGAACAGTTACATTGATTTTTTAGTTGTTTTTTTAAGCCAACGGTAATTAACATACAATTGTGATTATTATCATCATTTATTGATTTTCTGTCTCTCAGACTGTTGTTATTTTATCGATATTTTTTCTTAGTATATCGGTGAATATTATAATTGCATTCAAATAGGCATTCATAATTACATCTCTTATATTTCTTTAAGTTGAACAAAAGTGATTTCCTGAAGCTTATTGAAGATAATTTTCAGCTTTCATCAGGATCATTTATTTGGTTGTGTTATGATGAAATAATCAACTAGTAAATGTTGATAAACAAGTACTTGATGGCGTAACCTTGCTCTAAATGACAATGCCTAAAGTGATAACAAATGACCAACTTACTTAATATAATGAAAGGGAGAATAATTTGATTTTCATGGTGTTGTAAAAGTTAGCTAGTCACTATATAACACATAGTTATTAACGGTTCCACAGATATGTTATTAAATAATCAATAAGACCTCTGTGTTGATGGTTTATTTAACCAATAGAGGTATTTATAAACAATTGAAGAACTATTTATAATAGGGTTTACGTACACTGTTAGTTGATCATTTAAGCTGAGATCAACTCAATAAACAAACATCAAGTGCTCATTTATAGAGCATTGTTCTACCTGGAGTTTGTGCTGATGATATCGTTCAGAAGAAAGATGAAAGCTCCACGACTAAACCATCCAGCTCAGTAAACAAAACTCCACCAAGTCGTTCAGTGTTTATTGCTAACTAAATCACAACAAGAATTTTCATTTATTTTAACGATGAAGTAGGTTGTGAAACTTATGTGTTTTAGCATAAGTAAGCGAATCATATTCAGTTTCTATCTTCGAAACTAGCAGTTTTGTAAAGAATCGAAAACCTTAAGTGAGTAATTAGACTCATGAGCAATTAAATGAACCCAAGCTTCTGTTTAGTATGTGCTGAAACTAAAGGTGATACTTGGTTTCCTCTCTCATCGTAGCATTAAGTTATTTCAAAAAATAATGAGCAATGTTCAGCCTGGTACCGATGTATAACACCAGCTATGGTTTCACCAAGTACATAACAAGAAGTTAACAGGGTATTAAGAAAACGAAGAAAGAAATTTTAATTAAATGACGGGCGAAATGCTGTTGATCAGTCGAAATTCCTTTAAACATATGATAAATATAACTTTATTTTTTAACAAATGCAAGTTAATTGTTGCATTATATTTGTTTCAATGTGCTAATTTACATTAAACAGTGCAGTATAGACTAGTCTAAAAACGTTTTTGACACAGTATAAATTGGGAAAGTTTCGGTTGCATAATAATTAACATTTTTACGTCGATGAGACAGACAGAATTATAATGCTCAACATGATATTGTTTTTAATAAATAATATACACAACATATCTTTCATAGAAAACAAATTATTATACAATGTAAAAGCTTACCAAAATCATCTATACAAAATGAATCTTGTAATAATGGTCGACCGCATGATCTACATTTTGGTTTATAATTCCATGGTAATTGCAAATTGTTATCATCATAAGGATGGTTTGGCTCTTCTCGTGGGTATCGTCTATATCGTAAACTGTACCACGAAGGTAAATTATGAAATGCGTTCAGTCCTTCGTGTGGATATAAAATATTAGGTTGATTATATTCATCGATTGGACGTTTTCGATTCCCTTGATAATCAAGATATGTTTGAGAATAAATATTTGGCAGTTGTGGTTGATCTTGTAATTCTTTTCGTCGAACAGAATTCTTTATGACTTCAGAACTCATATTAATTGATGATACATTTCCTGAATAAATAAATCTATTAGAAGTGATTGTAGTTGTTAATACAGATGGTGTTGTAATTTGACGAGCAGATGAAGCACGTTCAATCCAATGACGATTTGAAGGACGTTTAATTTGAACAGCAGTATGGACCTTAATATCTTCCTTTGTTTGTTCAATATATAAAGTAATTATAAACAAGATAATGAAGAGAAGATAATAAGAAGGCGACGCTTCCATAACTAAGTAAAGTTTTCGTCTAAATATCAATGTTTTTTTCTATACTATATAAATTTTGAGATAAAGTTTTGTGTTTGTTATATGTATATTTATAAAAAGTCCAAGATTATTTTTATTGAAAATCACCATTTAAATAAATCGTTCAATAGTGACTGTGTTCAACTGTTATTTCAATCTGTATTTCATAATTTTCAGTCACATTCAAATGTGTAAAAGCTAGAAGGTTAGTTTGCATATAACCACAAATTGTTGAAATACATTTTCTTTTTCTAAATTCAACCAGAATTTCTTCTTCACAAACGAGTTGGATTTTTTTGTCTGTTTTCATATTCAGCATCACTTATTCATCAGTTGAATTAAAGTTCATACAATATTCTTCCCGAAGAAAATATTTTAACCAATCAGAACTAGCTATTTTCTAATATCGTTTATACTTTGAAAGGTGATTGGTTAATTTATTTGTTTGTTTTTTTATTCCTCATTTTATTATCTCGAGTAATAATAGTCAAGACACGTGCTTTATCCCATTTTAGATGAATATTCGAATATTGTGTACTTCTTAGTTTTAATGACATCGTAAATAAAACTATGAACACAATACTGACCACTTAGAAAGTGTGTTATAGAGTTGAAATAACTTTTCTACTTGTTATCTTATACTATTTGAACTTGTGTTCATTTAATTTCTTTTTTTTAAAAATTACTCTCTAATGAAGTGACTCGAATTAATAAAACGTTGGATGTTCCAATTTTTATTCAATGAGATTTTACAAATGTATCACTATTTTACTATGATCAGTCAAATCGGTGATAATTAATAAAATATTTTAGATAAAATGATTATTTTATCCACAATAAGTTGTTATGAGCACTCAGTAGATAAGTGGATAACGTAATGGAGTTTGAAGCGAACTGTGCCGGGTTTGAGTCCTGGAGTGAACATCAACTCTGTGATACAGGTATCTTCAGATGACGGAACGCGCATCCTTAATTCCACTACCAGCCACTACCCATCTTTGCTTATAAAGATTGTGATTTAAGGTAATATCGATGCTATAAGCTCAGCATGCATATATACCAATAAGAGACTGATCAATTGCAGTCCTAAACATCAATGAGAAGATTCAAGTAAACAATACCATGTGAATTTGCCTTAAATAGTTATTCATCCAAAACATTTTAAACACAAATACGTAGTTTTTTATATTTTCTTCGGATATTTTAACATTAAGATAGTATAAACTATTAGTGACCAACAGTCATGAATCCTATATTTCTATATCGAAGTATTATTTTCGACATTACTTGAAATATATCTCATTTAATGCAATTTTGGTAGAAACGCATTATCATATGATAGTTTTTTATGTACAGAAAAATTAGATTTTTTTAGATAGATTTGAAAGATACTTAAAAGTCAGAACCCATTATTAAAATGTACATTTTGCAAACGAAGAATATAATCATGTATTTACAACTAATTATTTCTATAGAAAATTAATGTTGTATTCAGTACCAGCTTTGGGTTACTTGATAAAATACTTAATATCAAATGATTTCCACAAGAGGGTACTTTAATCTATTTGTATGCAAGCAAAAGCCTACATTTTCAAATGAAAACAATCTTATACTTCAAAATAAGCAAAAGTCCTTATTCCTATATGCTTGTCGTTTTGAAAACAACTTACTTATACCCCTAACAACAGTTGTGTTCTTGTGATAATCACAAGATGCATCAATATGAATGATAAAATACCGATGGCTTAGGATCAAACCTATGTTGCATAATAATATATTACAGTTTGAAATTGTAAAACAAGCGAACTGGTGCATAGTTAAGTACCAGTATAAAATATTATAAAAACCAACAAAACTGAATTACACAATAGATTTTCTTGAAACGGAAATAATATTTCGAGGTTCACATTACTGCCGGACTTCGGTTGAACAACCACCGGAAACCGTAAAGCATTGAACAAGTATTTTACAAAAGTATCAGATGCCTTAGCATTTCACATCTAGAAACTTAGAAAGAATCAGAACTAGGATATTCATACCTCATGGTGAATGTTTAACCATCAGATAACTGAGCCGATACTGAGTGGTTTATGGTTCTTATTTCAGACGATTAGCAATACTGCACAACCATCTTCCACTAGCATTAAAACCATTTGTCTCATGCCCACAAAATATAGTTTGCCGAAACCAAGTATTTATCAAGAATTGTCTAACAACAAATACCACGGTGACTGAAACAGTGAACATTAAATTTAGTTGATTAGCGTAAAGAGATGGAGAGAGCCTTTAAGCAGAACATAACAGCATCCCAGTGAATAAAGGGATTATTTGTTTTCGTGTAATTACAACGTTTTACTACATTTCAATCTTTTATAAATCAGTGAAAGTTTTATGGTTCCCGACCGTTGTTGTTACCTTGATGTGAAAGTTGGGCTTGCCTATCGTGATGAAATTATCAAACTATACTGGCTAGAACAATTATTACTCAAGGTCCTACCATTCCACACAGGTCGATTAAAGAACGGTAAGATTAAAAGCAGCAAACCCAAGGTCCGCCGGCGAAGCCCTACTGCTAACTGTCCAGAGGTGTGACGGCAGTAGTGCGTTTCTTCCAGACAACCAGCATAACAGTGAGGCTGCCTTCCCACAAGGAGGGTTGTGGTTAGAAAACGTCAACTCTAAAAATACAAATCTCGCCTTATCCTACGGTTTTCCTTCTTTGGCGGTAAGGTTCCAATAAGTACGAGGCTAACACGAAAATTACTCACAAAAAGGTCGTGTGTTATTGACCCCAAGCAGTTGTACCTTGGGCACTGCGATCACGCTCTCAGATCCCTAAGGTTACCCCTAATCCAACTTCCTTTTCAGGTACCTCCAGAAGAACCCTTCCAAGGTGTGGACAACTGAGAAGTGATAGCTGCCCTCATACCTCTTCCTCTGTAGTTCTATGGTTATCAGTCTTGCTGTAAAAATACTAGGTTCAAATCCTTTAGTCAAAGTACAATGTTTCTTATTCCCATCTTCAGTCATATAACACCACTGCATCTCCCAGAAACTCCAACAAATCATGAAAAAACTGAACTTAAGTTCTCTCACTTTTGTGGTGCTTCTAGGGGTTGTGCTTGAGCATGATGTAAACCGATTTCCAAATAGATAATCCCTAGAAATTGTCAAGACCGATAAATAGTTCTCTGAAAGAAACTGTAAAATTTAAAACTGAAAATATTTTATGAATCAACTAAGATTTATGCGACATTTATTTTATTTCATTCCACATTCCTTGAACCACTTCATATTTGTGATAAGAATGACGATGTACCAGTAAGAAGAATATTTTAAACCAAATGATACTAAAGAAATAAAACGAAATTCAATCTTTAATTAAAAAACCCTCTAATTTTCTTGTCCAAGTAGTGGTGTATCACTTTATCTTCACTACTAATCACCCACCACCAATGCTTATTCAGACAAGATCCAATTCTTTTATACATTTTATTACTTCCAGTCAAGAGAATATTCATTAGATGATGAAACTGAGCAAGAAAGAAAACACACACACAAAAAAAATGTTAGACTGTTGAAAATAGTTTTTTGATTAGAGAAACATAAAATAACTGAAAAAACTCTCTGCATATGTGTGTGTGTGCGTGTATATGTATGTGAGTGTAAAAAGTGCCATTTAATAATGAGATTTTTTTCAATTGTTCAGGAAGAAACTATGTAAAATCTACACATTTATACCAAACTAAGTATTAACACGTAACCAAAAAAATGTATCCAATGGAATTGTTATTTCCCACTTAAAACTTCAATTTAGCCAAGTTTGTAGTTATTTTTAATTTAAAAAAAAAACAAAAAAATTCTAGTAAATCATATTGCTTGTTTTTTTCTCTTGTTTTATTTCATTCAAAATTATGTGTCTGAAATGAATGAGATTTTATCGTTACTGTAGATACTATATGTCCTCAATTCCTAATTAGATCAACTAGATTTTTTTTCTCAAAAAAAAAGAAACAACGTTGGGTAATGTTTCATTTTAACAATAAAGAAGAAGAAACCAACACACATGTAAAATATATAATAAAGCAATGTCTATAAGCATATAAACATCATTTACTTTCAGAATGATGTCTCATAAATTACTAATATTATTATCAGTAGTTGTAGATAATTTTCACATTTTTACAGGTAGTCCATTTTAATTATTCATTAATGAAATATTTTCAAAAAGGTGCAATGTTATTTTTTTTTTACTTTTAAAATAAAAGGGTTGCATGGCTACTACTGTACAGTGTATGAAGTATGGTGTAGTCTCTCCTCTCTCTCTCTCTCTCTCTCTCTCTCTCTCTCTATATATATATATATATATATATATATATATATATATATATATATATATATATATAAGAAAAGTTGCAAAAGATAGGAAAAGGAAGAAAGAAAGAAAAACAGTTAAGTTTGAAATATGAACACCAAGAACTAAAAATTCATATAAACATTCATTAAAGAAATTGTTTAAAGTTTTCTTGGACAAAAAGAATGTAAATGATCATTTTAATTATGGTTTATTAGTTTATTAAATATTACAGTCATTAATATATTTAAATTATTATTTTGATAATGATTAACATTAATGCATCGGTTTTAATGGAAGGTAATAATATAAAAAAAATATTCAAAGTTTACTTATTAAGCTAAGAAATGATTTGAAATGATCATTATTATCAATCATTATTATTATTATTGTTATTATGATCAAAGCTTATGACATTTCATTTGGTTTACAATAACAGAATTCCTTTTTATGCTTACATTGCATGTTATGTATAACTGTCTTTAAGTGTACTGAATATCCTGGTAGCGAAAATGAAATTCACTAATAATAACACTAAATCACGAAGGTAATTTCATAAACACAATCATTCACGATTTAACTATATGAATCAAAAAAGATTATTCATTAAAATTATATCGGAAAAATTAAAAAAAAAACATACTTATTTTTATTTTAAGCGACGTTGAAGAACATCTTTTTGTTGTATATTAACATAATTGTTGGGTACTATTTTTTTTCAATTATTAGTTTAACGATATCAATTCAACTTATCATGCTTGAAGATCATGTTAGGAATTGTTATTGTAAACAATCAGAAGTTAGAAATGAAATAAGATTTATCAAGGACTTGATTCATTTATAAATATATGCGGTACAAAACTTTAGGAGTAAATGTCAAGTCTCTTTATAATGAATGTATCAAATAGGTGAAATAGCACTCTGATGTATAATCTTTCATCTAACGCTTTCTTGAACCTATAA